CTGAAACCAAAACTGAAACCGTAAGCACAAAGCTTAGTGAGCTCCCCCATAATACCCCATACCATACAAGCATTTAACATATAACATGCAATTAGGAGATACGGGCCTCGCCCACACTCGTGAAGATACGGGCCCCGCCCACACCTCACTTTCTGAGAGATACGGGCCCCGCCCACACTCGTGAAGATACGGGCCCCGCCCACACTTCGCTACCTGGGAGATACGGGCCTAGCCCACACTCCATTCTCGGAGAGATACGGGCCCCGCCCACACTCAACCGCCAACTCATATCACACAAGTATCGCACAGACAACAAGTGTAAACAGTTCTATCATGCTGGTATATAACACAATCAACTCAACTAATAGATACGGGCTCGGCCCACACTATAATACTAACGTCTCATCTATACGGGCCGGCCTTGGTGCCTTAGACCCGTTACTACTGGAAGGAAACTCACCTCGAAATAGCTGCTGGTCTGTGTGGGAATTGATCACCTACTACTGCTGCTGCTGCTCCGGAAACTCCCCGGCTGTAATTCCCACAATATACTTAATCATACACTGCTAACTGTCCTTTGGGTAAAAAGACCATTTTACCCCTGGTCTAGCCCTAAGTCAAATCGAAGTCAACTTTTAGTTGACCCAACTCGCCGAGTGGATCTCCACTCGCCGAGTCCCTAGCAAACTATTGTCCTGGGTCCCTGATTCTACTCGTCGAGTTGGGCTATGACTCGACGAGTTCATCTTCTAAACTGTCATTCAACTCCTTCATCCTACTCGCCGAGTTGTATGAACAACTCGTCGAGTTCATCTTCATCCGAAGAACACATATGCTAAGACTCGCCGAGTTGTATGAACAACTCGCCGAGTTTGTTCTTGATCTATGAAGATTGCCTTGGACTCGCCGAGTCAGGGCATTGACTCGCCGAGTCCTATCATGAGTGAGTTCAGCTTCCAACTCACCGAGTCACCCCCTGTGACTCACGGCTCAACTCGATACATCTTAAAGGGACCAGTTCAGTGACTCGCGACCAGACTCGTCGAGTCACATATATGACTCGCCGAGTCGCAGCCATGCATCCATCAAATACACCGATTTGCTCGATTCCAGTCCATGCCATTCACAGATCTGGGCTTCTAGGACACAATTCACACGTAAAGTTTCCAACTTTACGTGTAGATATTCACCAATATGGATTTTAAGGCTCAAAGTGCACCAAAAGAGGTAGATCTAGGGCTTTCATGCAATATGACCCCATAAAGGCAATAGATCCAAGCTCCAGGGACTAAATCATGCCTAGATCTAAAGGCTAACAACTTATTATCACCCACAAAGCACAAACAAGCTTGGGGAAGAGCCCAAGAAGGACTCCAATGAAGCAAAAAGGGATTACAAGCTTGAAAACAGAGGGGAAACGAGCTATACCTCAAGGAATATGTTGAAATGACACAAAGATGCCTGATCTCCTTCTCCTCTTCTTGATCTACACCTCTTTCTCCTCAAAACCTTCAAGAACACACCAAGAGCACTTCAATCTCTCAAGGAATTAAGGGAAAACGATGTTGGGGAGTTCTGGGGGGTGAATGGGGACGAGTTGGGGCGGAATGAGGGTTTAAATAGGGTGCAAACCCTTGAAACTTAGGGTTTCATCCAGCAGCGGTGACTCGCCGAGTCCAGGATATGGACTCGCCGAGTCGCCCACTTAAACGTGTCCTGAGTCTCGTCCCTACTCGGCGAGTCGGACCTTATGACTCGCTGAGTCCAAGGCTAAAATAGGGCAATGCTCAAATAAAATTCACATACCGGAAACCAGGTGCTACAATAATAGATATAATAACTTACCTTGTTGTTGTTTGTGTTCCTTCAAACCTTGTGAGCCTAGCACCCCAAGTGTGATGCCTCAAATGCTTCACATAACACCAAATGCTCTTGGAAGAACTTATGACAGAACACACACTTCTTGATATCAGCCAAGCCCTCTTGTTTTCTTAGTGTATCCGATTTTGGTGGAGAACATGTTTCTTATATAGTGTTGACACATCTAGGGTTAAACCCTAATGTGTCATGACTCTTCATTTCCATGACCCATGGGTTTCTAACTCCCGTGGAGCATCCATGGAGCATCCTATGGGTGGAACCCAACTTGATATTCCATGGAGCCTCTTAGCCCACTATACAAGATATGGATGATTTACATAATCAACCCATATATTTAATTAGTTATCTTTTGATCACATAATTAATTCTAAATTAATTCTTGATCAAACTAATCAAATAATATTGTTATTATATTAGAACTTATAATATATTAATAATCTCCAAGTGTTATTTCTCTCATTTAGTCTATCCAATTGCATGGTGCCATGCAACCCAAATGGACCATGCCGGGTCGGGTCAAGTACATACCAGAAATAGTTATGGACTTAGACACCTTATCCAACAGTTTTATGATATGGTTATGGGAATACCCTGATAATAATTGTAATGAAAACCTTTTTGATGAAGAATTAATGTTAAGGGGTTGTTTTTGAAAAGTTTAAATTGGCTTGAATTTTATGGATATTACAAGGAGTCCCTAGAAGCATGTTGTTGTATCTTGTCCGAGGTCTCAATCGACTCTATGTGAAGCCTTAATAAATCAAATCTACCATTCGTTTCTTCCTAATTCGACTGCTAAATTCACATTAGTCACCAGCTAACTTACTCTTCTCACATCAAGTTAATACTTATCTGCTTGGTCACATTTTTTTAGTAGAGGTACTTTCGGTTCTTTAACCACCTTCACTCTTCTGCATTTTCCTTCGTACTCACAAATGTAACCCTTGAGAATCTCAACTATACCACTAAGGTTTATGGTTACGGAACATCTGAGTTTTATGATCTTAGCTTCGTTCACCACGAACTGAGTGAAACCCAAAACCCAGCACACTTACATGAATGGATGGTGAATAGTTAAAAGTTCTATATTTTCACCATGGAATTAACGAAAGCTACCTTCATGGTCCCTACCAAGAAATCTCTTTTCCTGTTACAAGATCTTTATGAAGTGTTCTTTTGCCAAGTCACTTCTTCCCATATGATCCATTTTTTTTTTTGAGGTTTCACTCTTACTTCTTGTCATTAAAATAATTTCAAACCTACTCGTTCAACTGACTACACTGGTCACACGAGTACTTCATCTGACATTAGTTCTTATATCAAGTTCATTGTTTGGTTGGAGAGTTAGCCACCCAATGATCCGAATTAAAAGAAGCCTTTTAGTGTTTCTTATCAGACATCTGATCATATTTCAATGGGTATCCACACAAACACTTCTTAGTGTCTCTTAACTTTGAAGGAAGAGATCTATGCCTGGGATTAACTATTTTATGTCTTCATATAGACATCACAAAATTTCTCAGATATACTTTGATTTATTTCTTTATCTTTGGCACTCTTGCATGAAGCTCCAAACAAAAACTCTCTCTACTGTTCATCATCTTCTTCAAGCTTCAACAATGGCAACTTAATCATTAGCTCATAATCAAACAGTCCACTCTACTCTTCTGACTATCAAACCGAATCACAATCTCATCATAGATCTTGATCCTTGCAAATATGAGCCTTATCTTCTGCCGATTATTGAGTATCTCAAATATTCTCCGTTGGTTCATGCTCTAACTAAAATGTAGGATGTTCTGATGTCCCTTCTATCCAAGGCGTATTCTTCAGCAAGCTACATCAAGGAGGAAAACAAAATTATATTCGATATCCACGATCAGAAAACGTCAATCACCAAATCCAGATTCTGCTCTCTCCTAGGGCTTCCTTAATCAGAAAACATGATAAAACCATAGTCGATCTATAATGCTGCTCTCTTGGAGACGGTTTATCAGATGGGGTACAAGGAGACTCTGTCGACGGTCTCAAAATTCTACAAACCCAATCTAGCTCCATAATGGAATGCTTTATTCACTCTTTTATTCAAAGGGTTTTCTGAAAGGATTACAGGTTCAGACTGTACTAGTAAGTTGTTCATGACTCTTCTTTATGGCCTCTATATAGGACTGAATATGGATTTTGGAGCTGTTCTCTGGGCTCAGGTGATACAAAGTACACTATCAATAACTCGTGACAATGAGATATCTTGTGCAAGATTCTGGTCCTTGAATGTTCACAGAGTTATTTTCAAGCACAACATTCCGACGATGAAGGATGCTCTTGCTTTCTCTGTCTCAACTTTTCTTACAACAGGGATAATCATCGCTGGTAGCTCAAAGTTTTCCTTCATTGGATCCATTCTGGAGGTTATGTTTCGCGATGTGTTGGCATCATGTAAAATTTTGGAAGGGTTTCGCAAACTTACTCCTTCAGAATTTTGTCTACTAACTCCAGAAATGTAAGCAAGCATTGATGCAACTAATAAACCAAAGAAAGGATGCAAGGGTTCTAAGAAAGGTGAGAAGAAGATTGCTGCCAAAGAAGGTCCATTCAATGCTGCGAAACCTTCTCCTAAAATGCAAAAGGCACCAACATCTTCTACTTCTATTCCATAAAGAAGAAAACAACCTACTCGCAAAAGAAAAACTCCTACACCATCTGCGAGTGAAGGCTGAGACTCTGAGGATGAATCTGAAATTCAGATTGAAGAAGATCCACCAGTTCGTAATTAGGAAGGAGAGAATGTTCGCAATGATGAGTCTCCAGTTCACAATGAAGAAGAGACTACGAACCTAGAGGTAAAGTAATCTTTCAATGACTCTGTTCGTTCTCCTCCTCCTTCACCGAAAACTACCTCAACCCCCATCACAGTTACACCTTGTCCTCCTCCTATTTCTTCATCTCAACCAACAAGTATTCCTCTCTCCACTCCCATCTTAACTGATTCAACTACACCACCCATTTCTTCAACAAACCCTAAAGTCACAGTCAACATATCTGATATGGGGGCTAACACTTCAGTCTTCACCACCCTTATTTCTCAACCCATATCCCTTATTCGCACTAATGATCCAAAAATGATTTTTAGGGATGATGATGATGATGATGATGATGATAACCTTGGCGGATTCACTTATTGTTCATTTCAGATAAGGAATGAAAGTGAAGATGAAGCCACAGTTACGAAATGGCAACTTAAGTCCTTTCACCAGAAAATTAACCAACTGCTTCTTGCCTCTAAGGTGTCCTCTTCTGAAGCTTACTCAAAAGAACGGTTGATTCTTTGTTCGAACGAATCATGAATGAACATGCACAGAATGTTGCGAATATGAACAATGCAGTGTCTGAGTCTATTGATATCTGCAAATCTACGACCGAAAAAGTCGATAAAATAATCTCTGAAACAACCACTTTTATGGAGAATTACCGAACCACCTACAACAACAACACTACATTTGCGAATGAAGCTCTTCAGAACCTGGGCTCTATGTTCAAAATTGAAAAGGCAAACTTGAAGGTTCGCACTGGCTTGCAGCAAGATCATGCATCATTTCAAACATCCCTTATTTCGCAAATTACAAAGCTTTAGGATGATTTGGTGATGGAAAGTAAGATTATGGATGCTCTTCCTAGAAAGATAGAGAAGGTCAAGGTGTTAGATCTCAAGTTTCAACATTCTGAGAAATAGGTCAAGGATTTACTATCTGAGAGGGCAGTTATGCGAAGCTGCATTTCAGATGTCACCAGCTTACTCTTAGATATCATTGAGAGTAGGGACTCAATGATTTCTATCATTGTTCGGAAACACTTGGCTGATAAATTAACCGTTGTATTTGCGATGTTGCACCGACTGCAGGGTGTTTCTCCTCAAAGTTCTCATCAGAAACAAGTGGGAGAAGGTGGAACTGGAAATGATGAACCTCCCAAAGTCCCAACCAAGCCCATCATCAAGAAAGAACCTAAGGGCAATGAGAAGTTGATTGAAGACGAGCCTATAATCGATGATGATGAAGACGAAGAGCCTAATGAAGCCGAGCTAAAAAGGCGGAAGGCTTATGAAGAAGAACTGAACGAAAATCAAAGAATCATCGAGGAGGCCGAGGAAAAGGAAATGGTTGAAAAGGAAGCTCAGGCCACACTCAAAAGCAAAATGTTATTATTTCCAAAGTGGACCCTAAAGCGAATCCATCATGTTCTTGTGGAGTTGCCTAGCTAGTATTGGTTGGATCCTATTGCCTCCTTTAATCATCAAAATTCTCAGGATTCGCAACTCGATCTTCCCATTACTCTGAAAGCTTTCAGGTTTCATTCTTTCGTAAAGGTTTCGAATGCTCCATTCACAGATAGTGGAGCTGATCAACTAATGTTCTCATTTTACTTGAAGCACATGAAGCCCCAATATGAAACTTGGAATGTGCGCATAAGATAGTTTTCGTGAAGGCTATTGGTCCAATTGAGACTGAAAGCTTCCCTAATGTGAAGTTCAATATAGCTAGAGGTTCGACTTATCAAGCCTTCGAATTCACCCTCGCAGACTTGCCCTGTTTGAATCCTAATAAACGGATCATGCTTTACAACTTGCTGCTAAGAGAGAAAGAGAAGTACGGACCTATTATCTCCCATCTCTAACTGATGATCAAGTCTTACATTCAAGAAGTTGGATCGATGGATGTGGATATTGTTGTAGTCCTGAAGAAGAAGCCGACTGCCGTTCCCAAGGAAGCTCTGAAAGACTTCAAGAAATTAAAGTCAGGGAAGATATACAAGGAAGGATGGTTCGTAGTGTACCCTTCTAGAGAATGAACAAGAGTTGACTTTCGCAAGTCTTACTTCTATCTTGAAGACAAACATTTGTACAATATTGCTTGTCTGGAATTTATATGGGACTTGATTACCAAGTTCAAGGGTAAACACAAGGATGACGTCAAGTGCTTTTCAGATATGATTCTTTGATATATCCAGGTTTGCAAGATGCGGCTATGCTTTATTCCCAAAATCTACGAAGTACAAAAGTGAATCACTTGCTGATGGGCTATAGCCTCAATTAATGCAAATGGGGTGATTGTTGAGTATTTAGTTGTTGCATCATTGGGATTTGTAATTAGTCTATTGTGTAAACGGGTTGGGCTTGTCCTCCGTATTTAATTGTAGGGTTAGAGTATATATGGTGCATGCATGCATCTTATTTTTGTTAACGCTATTATTCATATTGTAACCCTAACACGCCTCTACAGTTGAAATTCTTCATTGAGTTCAGCTGAGGCGTGACATTTAATCATCCAACATCTATTTGATCATCTTTGTGTTCATTACTTACCTGTTTGAATCTAATCGATCATCAATGATTTTCATCCCAACATCATAAGCTATGTTTTTTTTTTTTTTTTTTTTTTTGGAATTTAGCTTAAATCATTAATCAAAATTGTCTTCCAAAACATTAAAATTTTGATTACATAAATCTACCAAAGAAAAATATAAATACAAAAATATTATCAATATTTTATAACACATTGTATAAACATTCAAGGCTAAAACTCTACTAAAAACCAAGGCACTAAAGACATATATATATATATATATATATATATATATATATAACCTAAATTAATACAAAAATATTATCAATATTTTATAACACATTGTATAAACATTCAAGGCTAAAACTCTACTAAAAACCAAGGCAATATATATATATATATATATATATATATATATATATATATATATATATATATATATATATATATATATATATATATATATAATCTAAATTCGTATGTAATAGTTTATAGTTTTTGTACTATTTTCATATTTATTTACCTATGCAACTAATACTAATAACCAATCTAAACCTTTTCTTTTACTATTTATCAAATCCCCAAAACAACTAAAATTATAATTTTTATGAGATTTTAAATAAACAATCATATATTTTATTTGTACCAAAGGGTCATGGTCTAGTTGTACATAATGACTCTCTCATTGAAAGGTCATGGGTTCAACTCTCTTTGGAGACATAAATGGTTATTTAGAAATAGATTAATTAGTTAATTTGCCGTTATATATATATATATATATACTAGTCGTAGACCCGCGCAAAGCGGCGGCGAAAAATAGTTTCTCATTCGACAATAAGTTCTATACGGAAATATGTTAGATTTCAAGTAACACAAAACATATGCATATTGTTATCGATCGGTTTTACGGCAACAAATAAATCTAACCATCGCAATACAAAAGAAACTAAATATTTTGGTGTGTAGTGTACGTTTATAGTCCTTCATTTTAGGAATCAGGACACATCCATACGAAGTGACTTGCTTATACCTTTATTAGTATTGATAAAGTTAACAAAAGGGAGAATCAAAGTTAATCTTAATAACCCGGTTTGCTTGATACAGATAAGTCTAAACGGATATATCCTATTATCCACTTTAATATCTAAAGTTTTAAAACGAAAAATAATAAAATTAATACAACCATATTTCATGGAACATGAATAACAAATGGAATACTAATTTTCTATTAGTCATAAATCATACATAGATATTTTTTCTTAATATTAAACAAAGTATTTGATTTTACAACTGATTGGTCAATTTCGATTAGAGGACATAAACAATAAATAAAGCTTAAAAAAATCACAAATAAAACGGCCTATATAATAGATTATTTGTTTTATTTTAATTGGATAAGAGATCGAATCAAATTTTTGGAACAGATAAGATTTCAAAGATAATCAGATTAAAATTTAATATTATTTTATTCATGATTAGTTATACTTTACGCTTAGAGAATTGAACGTCTTAAAAAAATAATATTATTTTATTGGATTTATTTATAGAAATAGTAGGATTTGTTTTATAACTTAGTATATATATATATATATATATATATATATATATATATATATATATATATATATATATTATTTGTCAGTAATTAAACTATAAAGTTTTATATAATTATCTAACATATATTATATTATAAATATTTATTAATACTAATAAGAAACATAAAAATAAAAATAACCGTTTTCTATGTGACATTTGGGGAGTTAAATTGAGTTTAGGTTGCGCTCTTAAAATTTTATATTATCTTTTTCTTTTATTCGGTAATATTTAAGGACAGAGAGTTTATATTTAAGGACAGAGAGTGTGGTGGTGAGTTTTTTTTTTTTTTTTTTTTAGTTATTATTATTATTATTATTATTATTATTATTATTATTATTATTTTATATGCCATAATAGCATGCTCACTTTTACATTTCTTTAGAAATTGCATTGAAACCATTTAAATAGCTATATTTTCCCATTTTCTCTCTACTCTCTCTTGACGCCGACAGCACCACAAGCTTCATTTGGCGACCCTCTTGACTAGAGCCTGAAGATGTGTTTGGCGTTGTAGACGACGGAGGTGGCGAGGCTTAGCACCTTCGGCTCCCTGTCGTCCAATAGCTAACATAAAATTACTTTCTATACATTATTTATTTTTTTTTAAATAGTGATGACCAATTGCCGTTAAAAAACACACTAAACATGCTCTTATTATATTAAATTATTAATATAAATGAATTCAAAGATATTATAAATTTACTTACTTCTATCTCTTTTACCACTTTCTTGTTCATCGGAATAGCCAGCCTTTGATTTCAAGAAAATGAGGTTGGCCAAAATAGAGAATGCACCGCGTGTTTTAAGGGGGTTGGGAGTGACCAGTTCTTGAAGAGTGGAGGTCGGTTGTGGGGAACAGCTATATGTTGATTTTGTTTGACGTGGGACACACCCGCACGTGAACCCACTTGCCGCCGGCCCTGCATTCTACCCCCACCTCTCTAGTTGCTAAGGACAAAACCTTTCGATCTCCAATCTCAATCACTACTCTCATATTTCTTCATTTTTCCATTTATTACGTATAAAATGATTTCCATTATAATTTCTTAGTTTTGAAGAACTTGATAATCCAATTTTATAAACCACTTATTTAACATATATGACCTTTTTTTTTTTTTTTTTGGTAAAATAACAACATTCTCTGGAACACGTTGTTCCGGAGAAGTCTCCCGAATTCCGGACCATTGTTCAATACTAGATTTGGTTTTTATTTTATTTTATTGTATTTAAATTTTGCTTTCATAAAATGTATAGCTTTGCTTTAATAAAATATATTATTTTTGGTTTTATAAAATACAAATGCAATTAAAATGAACAAACAACTAATAAATACATAAACAAAATAAATGATGTCTTTGTAGTTCATATTAAAAATACGATTTTCAAATTATTTTTGTCCTTATACCCTAAGATATTTCTGCTAGTCGTTTTCTATAATGCATAGCTCTTGGATCGGTCGTTTTATCTTCTATAGAAATCAATTTTCCAATGATCAACGCCTCTAGGACCCAACACAAAAGCACCCCCATAATCTCATTTGTTGTCAATCTGTAGCGCTACGGCTGGAGCCTTTTCGAGGGTCACCTTGAAGCTCTCAAATGGGATTCAATCGGTTGGTTCAGTACCCAGTAATTGACTCCCACGAACAGTTTGTGGATGCGGGATCTCAGATCTATAAATCAATCCTCATTTTTCAAACAGTAGTCTCCCTTCCACTGACTATTGTATATAGTCATTTGGAATGTCTTCAAATCCAAAGCATTCAAAAACCAATGAGTTTGTTATATGTTAATTGGGATGTAAAGCTACAAAAAAGGTTAGAAATAATAAATTAATATATAAATACTCGGGTAATGTAATCCAAACAAAATTATACCGTATCACACTCTGTCCGAGCTGGGTACACGGATCTGTCACCCATGTCACTCTAGTCATATGTTTTAGTGTTGAAAGCTGACAGCACAATCGTCCACCGAGCATCATCTGCTATACGCTCTAGCTGCAATGAGATACACATCATGATATGTAGCCGATTATTTGCTTTGCAGTAAAGTATTGTTATTAGAAGCATATTATGTAATAAGCAAATAATTATATTACTTAGATCACATGACAACCATCCTCCATTAATATCCGCATATAACCGTATCCAAGACTCAAGCTTAGCAAAACCCATCAAATAATTGTGATCAGACATGTGACAACCCAGATTCTACTCCGTTACATAACCCCGTTATCATTAACGGAATTCGTCGCTATATATGTAAATTCTCGTAATATTTGGAGTCGTCAATAAATAAATATCTATTTATCTATATTTCTTGACATTATCATTTTAGTATAACTAAATATAACTTGTAAGTGTTAACCCCATTAACAAAATAAAGTTATATTACTTTTCAACCACTTCACCCGGGTAAAAAGTTTAAACCCCGTTAAACTTGAGCATCAGGTAGTCGTGTACCGGGTGCAATACCCGAGGCATATTTAAGAAAATTGGATGCCACTTTACACCATTTTACCACCCCAAACATACACTCTCTCACTACTTTCTTTCTCTAGACCCGATTCCGACTCCAAAACCGCGAATTCTGGCTTCCAAACGTAAGAGTTTCTTCCCTAGCTTGTTCTAATCATACTCCATTGTATTTAGAACACAAATATCATATGAATTAGTGGAAAACAAGGATTTTACGGCCTAAGAAGCCCCTTAGGCCGTAAACGCTCCAAATCATTACCAAAGTCCCATTTTTCCTTCCTTTAAGCTTGTATACTAATTAAGGAAATTACCTAGATGAGTTTGGACATTAAAACACAAGTTTTTAGAGCCTAAAAGAGGGTTTACGGCCCAAGCTTGTGCTTAGACCGTAAACACCTAATTTCCATCTTAAATTGTCCCAAAA